GGTCATGATCTCATGGTTTGTGAATTCAAGCCCCACATGGGGCTCTCTGCTGTTAGAGCAGAGCCCGCTTTGGATCCTGTCCTTTGTCTCCCTCTCTCTCTACCCCTCCCCCACCACTACTCTCTCTCTCTCTCTTTCTCTCTCAAAAATAAATAAACATTTTTTAAAAATCCTGGGAAGAAAAAAAAATCAGAAAGAAATAAAACCCTCTGTCCATGCCTGTCTGCTCTGCAGCCCATGTCCATGGAATGTCTCTCCTCTACATGACCTGCTTCTCTCTGGGAAAGAGGAATGATTTTGACATTATATAAGGAGAGGAACACTAGCTGTTGGTGTCACCATAATTGTCAACAAATCTGGGACAGATCTGGAGAGAAAGAAGAAAAACTGCAGGACCAGTGTGATATCTACCCTCAGCGTGAGGGAGCAGCAATCAAGAGTCTGAGAAAAGTGAGTCAACTTCTTCCACCCTCTGAGGGGCCCAGCGGGAAGTTGATGGAGAGATGTCACTGCTCAGAGCTGCTGAGTGGGACACAAAAGGAACGAAGGAAGCAAGGCATTTCTTGTTTGCCTTGAATTTTTGTTTTGAATCTCTGTCTTATTCTCAGTCTCTAGCTCCCTCTTGAGGGAGTATAGCTATTGGAACCATGAGCCCTTTCTCCACCTCTTTTAGGGAAACTTCATCTGGTCTACAGAAATATTTCCCAGAAGACCTCATCCTCTTCTTCTTTTTTTTTTTTTTAATGTTTATTTATTTTTGAGAGAGATAGAGAGACAAAGAGCAAGCTGCAAGTGGGGGAGGAGCAGAGAGATAGGGAGACACAGAATTTGAAGCAGGCTGCAGGCTCTGAGCTGTCACAGAGCCCGATGCAGGGCTTGAACCCATGAACCGTGAGATCATGACCTGAGCTGAAGTCTGGTGCTTAACCGACTGAGTCACCCAGGTGCCCCCAGACCTCATCTTCTGTAAGTCAGCAAAGGGTGGAGTTTCTTGGGAGAACTGAGGGAAATCTGCCACTAGACCTGGCATCTGCATCTTGTTAGAGACTGAGCTAAGCCTCAATTTTCCCAGCTACAAATGGGTTCTAACCTTCCTCTGCCTCTTGGATCCAGATACAGGATAGATAAAACCCCTTGGGAAACACCCTAGAACATTTTGAAACCTTTTGTGATGTTCTTTGCTTTCATTTAGGGACTCCAGCTATAGGACTTAAGTGATATGGTTTAGACATCTGTCCAGACCATTGGGACACAACCCTAATAGCAAAAAGGGTAAGGGTTGAGAGTCTTGTGGTGCAGATAAGACTGTGAGCTGAGGAGATGGTCAATAAGGGCAGCTGTGGAGACTTTAAAGATGCTGGGCACAGAGGAGTGTGGACAAAGCCAAGACAAGACTGGGCACTTGCTGCTGTCTATATCCTTCTGGGGTCCAAGCCATGTCCTTGTCCCTTCACAGGCAACTCTGGAGCATGGGAAGCCAGGGGTTGGGGATGGACAGAGAAGTTGTTGTATGGTGTCATGTTATGAGTCACATATGACATATGTCACTATGAATCACATATGCCAGGGCACCTGGTGTCACATGAAGGCTCAGGGTACACAAGAATAGCTCAGTCACTTGCCTGTTAAACTGACTGTGTGGAAAGGTTTAGGACAGTGACAAGAGGTGAGATGTCTTGTGTTAGAGCTCTATGTGCATGGAGAGATCTACAGATTAATGATTCCTCCCACAGAGCAGATCTGATGCTCAGCCACAGCTCTTCTGACCATACAGACTGACATCTATGGTGATGCTTTAGCATCCTGGGCACACAAGTCACACTTAAACCACACCCTGGGTGAAAAAGACCATGACATCACGTTGATCAGAGCGCTTCTAAGAAAATTATTAACCAATGAAGGGGAAACCAGGAGTTGTCACCAGGGGACCAGGCTTAGCTGGTTCCTTCTACTAAGGGCAGATCTGTCTATAAACTGCACCTCTCGCTTTTTGCGTCCACAAAGCAGACATGTCTGATGCTCTTCAGTGGTGCTTTGACTGCACTGATGTAATGTATATAATGATATCATGGAGTGTTATGTAGCTTGATCTATATTTGATCCAGGTCCAGATGGACAGAATGGAATCAGGGAAGCCGGGGCCACAGACACGGCAAGAGTGACAAAACCTGCTTTTTCTTCACTGTTTCATTCACCAAGCAATCTCAGATCTCTATAATATACCATCACTGGGTTTGACAACAGGGAGTAAAAATGAACACACATTAGATAATGGGGTATCTATACAGATCGGGAGCCTTAAGTGTCCTTACTTTTTGGCCCTGAAAGTCAACAGCTAGGAAAATATCCTATAGAAATAACTTCACTTATGGAGAAGGTTTTATGGGTTAGATGTTTAGTACAGCTTATTTACAAAATAATTTAAAATTAAAAAAATGGAATCTGTCCAAATGTGCTTCAATAGTGCATGATAATATTAATGCACTGGGCTCATGGTTGAATAAATTAGGCAGCTCTTAAAAAATACTGGAATGATTTGGGAAAGTCTTATGATGTTAAGTATAAATAATAAAAATACAAAATTACATTCATATCATGATTACAACATTGCCCCTCACCTCCCAGACACACAGTAAAAAAAGTAAAGAAACAAGTTAGCAAACTGAATTATCATAAACCTAGAAAAAAATTGCACTTGAAAGAAATAAACCAAAATGTTAATAGTGGTTAGGTTTGGGTAATAACATATTTCCTATTTTCCGGGAAAGAAATCTTACTCAAATTATGCCTCAGAATTCACATGTGCTACAGTAAGACAGGAAGAATATATAGGCAAACACCCACATCCTTACTGTCACTTGCCTTGCCATCTACTTAGCTTTCAGAAATAAAATAAGTTTTAATCTTTTCTGTATTTTATATATTTTCAAATTAGCTTTTGCTAGGGTGCCTGGCTGGCTCAGTTGGAAGAGCATGTGACTCTTGATCTCGGGGTCATGAGTTCAAACCCCACATTGGGTGTAGAGATTACTTGAAAAATAAAATCTTTAAAATAAAATTATTTTTTGCTACTTTGGGGGTGATCTACAGTTCACATTACAAATCAAGTACAAACACCCAATTTGAATTAAAAACATTAGTAATGTTGCTTTTTCCCTACTCCTATGAGACTCCCTTCTACAAATGTGGAGAAGACTTTGTGCAGACTTGATCTCTGAGCAGCAGCAGCCATTTTGTAACCATGAAGTGATAAGCTCCACCCCCCCCAAAGAAAAGCCAACAAAATTTGGGGGGAAATAAGAAAAGAGTCCCTGATGATGTCATTAAGCTGCCAGACAAACCCTGGAAATGCCATCTTGACTTTACATTGAGGAAACAGGAAATGTTCTAGGATTTTTGAGGAACAAGGACTTCCTTTGACAATTTCTTCACTTTCTTGGGGCACCTGGATGGCTCAGTTGGTTAAGCATCTGACTTTGGCTCAGGTCATGTTCTCATGGTTCATGGGTTTGAGCCCTGCGTTGGGGTCTGTGCTGATGGCTCAGAGTCTGGAGCCTGCTTCCAATTCTGTGTCTCCCTCTCTCTCTCTGCTCATCCCCCACTCACACTGTCTCTCTCTCTCTCTCTCCCTCTCTCAAAAATAAACATTAAAAAAGAAAATGTCTTCACTTTCTCAGTTACAAGAGATGAATACGCCACCACTGATTTAATTGTAGGTCCCTTTTATTTTCACTTTTTGCTTTTAGGGTCCTTTTTAAAATTGTTACAAATAAGCTGTGACAAACACCATTATGCATACAATGTTCTTCATCTTTGTGTTTATATCTGTAGGATAGATAATGGCAGAGTACTTTGCTGGTCAAAGGGTAACAACCTTTGAGTTGTTGAGTTGTTGAGTTTAAGGCTCATCATTCACTTAGCCCCCAGTTAGCCCAACTAACCCAGGGCCCAGCTGTTTTGTGTGAGCCTCAGCCTTTTGATAGTGATGCTGTGAGCTACAAATACCTGGGGTAGGTACTGCTTGTGGTGAGCCCCTCAGACATTTCCCCGACTGGAGCCAATGTTGTGACTGGATCAGCCCTTGTGGTTCTTACGATTGTAACAACCACAGGGAAATTTTAAAATACAAGGTTTATTACTCATAGGGGTACACGGCATGTCTGAGGGTCACCCAGTGAGGTTACTGGTAGAGAGAGAATAGAGTGTAGACCTGGTGTTCTGCTTCTTTTGGCGTTAGGGGTGGGATGCCTGGGGCTTTGTGGGTTCACTATTGGTAAATGTAAAACATAACAGCAGGAATTAGAGTGCAGGAAGGGAAAAGCAGAGTGGCTCAAGTGGCCAGTGATATAGGTTACTCAGGCCTCTCTGAAGGGAGAAATTTATGGACGGGGCAGCCTGGCTCTTTATCTAGTGGTGTCACAGGCAGTGAGTCTTTGAAATGGGTGCCTCAGCAATCAAAAGCTTACATTACAATCAAAAGAACACTTAGGTTACCATCAAAAGAGCTAATTGCCAGGCACTTATACTACCTGATATTGCAGAGATTTGTACACGTTTGATGATCCAGCCAAAGTCTGAAAGGCCAGCCTCAATCTTGCCACTTGGTAGCTGAGGCTTCCCCAATTCTGCTTGTCTCCACCTGGGGTGTGTTTTAGCATGGGGTGTGTTTTTCAAGACTCCATGGCATTGTCACCTGTGTCACATCGATGCCATTTGAACAGCTGGGGTGCATATCAGAAGGCCCTTTGGGTGAAATGCTTGATGGATGGATCTGCTCTTGTGAGAAGGCGCCAGCTAACTGGGTCACACCAACATCTCACCTCTTCTCACTGTGGGAACCATTTCCTCCTCAAGTAGGCAACCAAACCATTGTTGCAAATAACCTGAACCCTTGTGGCCACCCAGAGCTCTCCTGGCTTTATGCAACTCACGCATGACACCAACACCAACAATTTAAAATCCACCCCACCCACCTTGGTTTCCTCAACTTTCTGTCTTTTAATGCCCTGAGGCTGCTTATAAAGAGAAGACATGGCTTAGACCCCAGAAGGAGGCAGTGGCTGCAAGTCCCCAGTGTCAGCTCTGCTTGGCCACTGCTTGATCTCACACTCTGCTACCCAGCGACATGGAGGTCCCCAAGGCTGCCCTGGCTGTCCTGCTTCTCACCGCGACACTCTGTTCCCAGACCTGCTCTTCCTTTTGTGAGTCTGTCTTCCCTTCTCCCTCTTGCCCTGCCCTCCTGCTATCTGCCTGTGGCTTGGACCACAAGGCCAAAGTCTTGTGGCTTAGCCGCTCCAAGTAGAGAACTTCAGAAAGATCTCAGAGACTATTTCCTGAGAAGGATTTTCTTTCCCATGAGGTTTTAGCAATTCTGTTGTCCAGCTCTGGGAGAGAGTGGGAGGAAGTCCCTTTCTAAGGGTAGAAAAATGGACGCCCAACTGGGATTTCGACAAGAGGTAGAATCTGTGTCCAACTGGCTCCCAGGGGTGTGGCCTTGGCTCTCCTCATGAATTCCAGATGCAACTACCCAGGGAGAGGCAGAAAAGGAGTAGTTTGTTTAGAAAACTCAATTCCCTACAGAGAGACAGAGAGACCCCCAAGCCAAGATAGACACTGAAAGAGAGACACAGAAATAAAAATGTCCAGGAAAAGATCTCTTCCTTCTGGATCTCTTTGTACCCACATTGCCACTCCAGAGAAATACTGTCTTCTTCCAGTTCTTCCTGACCCTCAGGGAGGGGCTGGCTTGTCCTTTCTTCTGAAGAGTGACTTAGGGTCTTTCTGTTCTGTCTCTCTCAGTTGGTGCCGACACCCCCACCTCCTGCTGCTTCGTCTATATCTCCCGGCAGATTCCACGCAAATTTGTGGTCGACTATTATGAGACCAGCAGCCAATGCTCCAAGCCCGGTGTCATGTAAGGCCCAGTCTTCCTGCTCAGCCTAAGGAAGGAGATGGGAGGTCTGGGGTGAGGCACCCCTTGAAGGACTCAGCCTTCTGAGACCCATCAGAGCACAGTATGCCAAGGGAGGCCACTGCCATGTTTTCTCACCTGGTCTGGTGCCTGTAGGGAGTCCTGGAAGACCTGTCCCTGGACAGAGGGAAGAGAGAGTTGAGGTGACAGTAAGAGGTTGGCTTTCTGAGTGGACTCCCACTGGAGACCTAGAGAAGGTCATGATCCCCAAGATTGAGGGCACATTTTGTGAGCATATGGATAGACCCTGAGAGGTCTGAGGCAGAGGAGGGTGGAGGGGTCACAGTGGATCCAGGATTCCCCTGCTAGATTCTTCAGTATGTAATCCTTTCACCCTTCTCCACAGCTTCCAAACCAAAAGAGGCCGGGAGATCTGTGCTGACCCCAGGGAGGCCTGGGTCCAGGAATACATCACCAACCTGGAGCTGAATGCCTGAGTGGCCTAGAAGCTACAAGAAAGGTGTTACTTCTATGTGCAGACTGGGGGGCAGTCACCTGAGCCAAGGCAATGACCTTGGAACTCTGGAGGCACCTCTCCTATGGGTCACACCCCCACCCCCAGCCACACGCTACAGCCCTTTTTAACTTTAATTTTAGTTTTTGTATCTTATTTAACTTTTGTAATTTATTTCCATTGTTGAATTGTGTGATGTAATAAATATTTCTGCTGACATCTCACAACATCCTCTCCACCTCCCCACGACCCTCCCTTTTCTGTTCTCACACTCAATATGTGGATCAGTCAGCAGGATTGGCACTGTCTTGTAGCTGTTGTATCATATATATCAAACAACAAATGTTTACGGAGTGGTTTTGCCCAGCACGGCTCTTCAAAATATTGAAGGTCCTTATATAAAAGGTAAACCAGCATTTTCCTTGTGATGACTCCATTGATTGTGGTTTCCCAACTAATCAGAGCCACAGGTTGAGAAGAATACTGGGGGTGGGGGGGAGTTTCGAGACCTCTGAAGAGGGACAGAAACCACAAGAAAGGGACAGAGTGCCAATACCGTGGTGCCAGACACTTCCTGGAGATACTTTCCTGGAAAGTTGAAACTGACTCATTGTTTTATCACCAAATCATAATTGATGCAATCTAGGAAATCTTTCTACTTAAATGAATACCAAGATGACGCACACTGTGGTATATATTGGTGCATGTGAGTTCATTTTCATAAGTGAAGCTTTCTTCAGAATGATGGTTGATGTCCATCGAGGGCTTAGCAAGTGCTGGGGGATTGGGAGCCTATGTCAGTGACACTCTGGCAAACCTGCCTGCAAGGGCTACCTACCTGCCAGCTGGCTGAGAGCCCTGATCAGCTTCTCTGTTGTTCCACACTCTACTTTCTGGGAGAATATTCTCCATAGCCATATCTGGGGGGAGGCTTGGTGGCTACAGTGGTCAGAATTATAAATAAAACTACAGAATGAATAATTTTTTAGTGTATGTCCCATGCAACCAATATTTGGGATATACTTATAAAAATTATTCATTGTATATCTGAAATTCAAATTTACCTGAGGATCTTGTGTTTTATCTGGGAACCCCACTTAGGGTGAATACTTTTATAGAGGTTGTCTATTTCTTGCTGGATATGGATGCCTAAGGGTTGGATTAAGTTCAAAGCAGTGCTTTTCAACCTTGATTTCATGTTGGAATCACTGGGGAAAGCTTTCTAAAACTGCAGTGTTATGAATTTAGTTCAGGTTTAGTTAGGTGGGGCTGGGCATCAGTGATTTTAAAACTCCCCTGGTGATGTTAACACACAGTCAGTTTGAGAACCACTGTTGGGGTGTAGTCATCAGCTGTTTGGGCCAGCCTTTGGGGTTTCAGAGTCAATATGGCTCCTTTCTAATTTTTCAAGCCTTCTGATCTGGTTTGGGTCACTTCCACTGGATGGTTATTTGGATGCAGAGAATCTGTCAGTCAAGGTCACTGCTAGAAGTGGGTTCAGAATGCCCCTCTTGCAGCACAGCGCTAGTCTTCCCTTTTAGAGACACACCCTCTCCCCTGTGTCACTGACTTCTATCTCCACATTGCCCTCTGCTGCTGAAACAGTGCCATCCATGGGTATGACCAACTCCCCGCCTCTGGCTGCATCCTAGCTCTTTCTTCATGAAGAATGTGATTGTTCATTTTGTCCACAAGATAAATATTTAAAAGGAGGAGGGGTTCTGCAGAGAGGATGGATCTGACTGTTTCTGGGCCCTGTTTTTTCATCCTTCCTAATCTCCCATCTTCCCATTTCTGCTTGTACTAACATCACCTTGCAGTGGAGAACTCTGCTTTTCTAGTCAGCAAGCTCCAGGTCACTGGTGTGCAATCAGCTTGGTGTGCAGCAGCAAGCCAAAAAAGGGCTTCTCTTGAGGAAACTATTTTTTCCCCCTCTCTGCTATCAGACACACAAATTTCAAAGTGAGCAAATCTCTTTCTCAATGGACTTTACTGATTTATGCAAGAGTTAGTCAGTCTCCAACATCCTGAATTTTCCTGTTTGATGCAACTGTGTTAAGAAGATGGACATACTAGGGGCGCCTGGGTGGCTCAGTCAGTTAAGTGTCCGACTTCGGCTCGGGTCATGATCTCGTGGTTCGTGAGTTCAAGCCCCGTGTCGGGCTTTGTGCTGATGGCTCAGAGCCTGGAGCCTGTTTCAGATTCTGTGTCTCTCTCTCTCTCTGACCCTCCCCCGTTCATGCTCTGTCTCTCTCTGTCTCAAAAATAAATAAACGTTAAAAAAAAAAAAGAAGATGGACATACTAAGAATACATAATAGGCCATGGGGGTAACCAGCTGGAGGTGTCCTCACTGACTTCGACCTCAGCTTCTTCCCTCAGCCAATTATACGTTCGTTGTGGGGTGTGTGCTACTTATGGCACTGCACCAGTTAGGGATACTTTGAGTTATAGTACCAGAAAGGCTGACTCAATCTGGACTAAGGGATAAAGAGAACCTGCTAGCTCACGTAACTGAAGCTTCAAGAAGTAGATTAGCTTCAGGCAAAGCTTGATCCAAAGCTTTGGATACTTGGTCCTCAAGTATGATGATTAACCATGTTTTTTTCTGCATTTCTGATTTCCCTTCAATTTTAGAGCTTCATCTTAGGATAAAGCTGTAAATTGAATCACTTTGCTTGTAGGCACTTTCAGGTTTTACAAATTACCCCCTCGAAACCCCTTCATTGGGCTTTGAGAGGAGGAAAGGGGATGACCTTACCTTCACAAAGGTGGAACCCACTAGGCTAGCCATTTAGCAAATGATATTGTTCATCAGGGAACTATGCACACAGAGGACCCCTGAAAGAGAGAGACAGAGACAGAGAGAGAAAGAGAGAAGGGGAAGGAGGAGGGGGGAAAGAAAGAAGTATTGGGAGCAGCTGTGTTTCTACCACATGGACTGAGTTTCCCATTGGATTCCTAGAAATAAGATAGCTAGATTAAAGAGTATGTACATTTAAACATTTGGTAGGAACTGTGCCATTGCTCTTTGAAAACCCTATAAAAAATTCCACTTTTTGATACAAAAAACTAGATCATTTAAAACAAAATGAAGCAAGTATGCCTTATCAAAAAAATTAATATATGTTTGCATTTCTCGTGTGTATGTTGAATTTCTCCCTCTTAAATTTTACAACAGAGACCATGGCTGAGTCTACCTTTCTTATACTTAAAAACATCATCTAGGCCAGAAGTCAGCAAACTTTGTTTACAAAGGGTAGATAGTAAATGTTTATGGTTTTGCAGGCATACAGTCTCTATTGCAAGCATCAACCCTGCCACAGTAGTGGAAAAGCAACCACAGACACTATGTAATAGAATAAAACTTTATTTACAGAGACAGGCATTGTGATGGATTTGTTCTGAGGACTATAGCTTGCTAACACTAATCTACATAATCTAAATAATTTGGCATTCACAATAGAAGTCTTGTTGTGTATATTGGTTATTTTTTTCCATCTCTAATGTTAGCCACTGCTTTTGTAGAGCATGGATTCTAGGAAACTTATATCCAGGTAACATGTCTATTACTATATGCACTTTATTAAGAAAAGAGTGGTGGGGCGCCTGGGTGGCTCAGTCGGTTGAGCATCCTACTTTGACTCAGGTCACGATCTCGCGGTCCGTGAGTTCGAGCCCCGCGTCGGGCTCTGGGCTGATGGCTCGGAGGCTGGAGCGTGCTTCCGATTCTGTGTCTCCCTCTCTCTCTGCCCCTCCCCCGTTCATGCTCTGTCTCTCTCTGTCTCAAAAATAAAAGTTAAAAAAAAATAAAAAAAAAAAGAAAAAGAAAAGAGTGGTAAATCCTTGTTGATGAATTCACTGGTTTTTGGTCCTCTGTCTGCATGTAAAATCACTTGAAGTTTCGCTAAAAGTATGGATCTGTAGATCCAAACCCAAGGAATTCTACTGTGAGCATTTTTTAAACTTAAAAAAAATTTTAAGAATGTGTATGTACTTTTGAGAGAGAGAGAGAGATAGAGAGAGAGAGAGAGAGACAGAGAGACAGAGGTGAGTGGGAAAGGGGCAGAGAGAGAGAGAGAGGGAGACACAGAATCTGAAGCAGGCTCCCGGCTCTGAGCTGTCAGCACAGAGCCCGACACGGGGCTCAAACCCACGAACCACGAGATCATGACCTGAACTGAAGTGGGATGCTTACCTGACTGAGTCACCCAGGTGCCCCCTATTGTGAACATTTTAAACAACCATCCCTGCTCTGAGGAATGCTGGCACAGGTTTGCATCTTAGTTATTTATTAGCTGAATGACCATGGCCAAGTTGTTTTAACTCTCTGAGCTGACATTTCCTCTTCTGTCAAATGGAAACCTTGGTGAAATTGTTAGGATTTATAGGACAGTGCATAATTCTTAAGAAATCTTGGTTCATGAGAAAAATAAACTTAAATGCATGAATTTTTATTAAGAATGAATATACTTAGTACATATACATTATGTGCTAGGTGCATAATATTTTATAGAATAATCATTGTTTTCTAACATAATGTTTTATTTTTAACTTTCAGGAAAATGTAGATACTGGTATAATTGTCATTTCCTTCCTGCTGAGTTCTCCTCTTCAGATTTTCCTACTCTTTGCCCCCATAATTTTTCCAACCAGAGAGCCTGACTTTGTCACAAAACAAAACCAATAGAATCACCCAAAAGACTGGTTTGCTTTTAAGAAATTCCATTATTTCACACGGCTGAACACGGAAGTGGTAAATAACATTCTATAAATATTTGTTGGTTGATGGTTTTGAAACAGTTTCCCCCTTGAAAAAGCTAAACATAAGCACTCACCTATACCCTATGTGTCAACCACTATGTGATTGGAGGTGGTGTGTGTGTGTGTGTGTGTGTGTGTGTGTGTGTGTGTGAAAGAGTATGGTAGGATCTCTCCCTGCAGGTGAGATCTCCTGCAGGTGGCCAAGAATGCATGGAAACACATTACAAAAATCAGTCTAAATAAATTTAAATTGACATCAAGAAGAGGCCAAGAACCAGCACTTAGCACAGTAGCTTCAGGAGTTGAAGGAACATTCCCTGGGCTCAGGTCCCTGCTACCTAATCTGCCCACAGATGTAACCAGTTTCTTGTTGCTTCCAGGT